ACAGCAGCATATGCCATATACTATTTAAGCTCTAGAAAAACTGGGGAGTGGGATGTCAATTAGAACCTTCTCCTTCTCTTCCTGTTCCCACAAGCTTTCAGAGGAAAGGGGAAAGAAAAGGAGGTAGAAGAAGTAAAGACTCTCTCCCACCTTGATCTTGGGATCCCTACTGAGGAAGTGGAAGACAATGACTTTCACTGAAGCAGGAGGGTGGCCTCAGAGTCAAGTACGGGCTTTGCAATCAGACAGATCTGAATTTAAATCCCAGCTCCACCATTCAATTACTGTTATCACCTTGAGCTCAGTTCCATGTCTGTAGAGATAATACTTAACCTTCAGAACTGTTGTAAACATTCAATGAAATAAAAATTATAATATGTACCTAATAAGAATGGGATACAGCCTTCAAAGACTGAAAAAGAACCTAACAGAAACCAACCAAATCATTTATCAAAACACTGATTTAACTAACCTTTTTGATTCTCTGTTCTCCCCTGGGAGAGGGGATCTGTTCACCAGGTTGACTCAAATTGTATCACCTAGACTCCCCTTGCTGGCTTCTGGTTGAATTTGCCCAATATAAAATACCAGATCAGAGGGTGCCCCTCACCCCCGAGGGGCCACATTTCTGATAGGGCCTGCATCTATCCAAGACCATGACTTCTGTTAGACAGCTTTCCTCCACAGTTCCAGCTATCACTGAAATATGGTAATACTGTTTCCTCACCGAGCCCCTTTGGACTAAGGGCAGTAGCCACTCCCAGTAGTTGTTTGTCTCCAGGCTCCTCAACATCTCTTACTGCTTCCCTGAAACCTACACATACTGCTCTAGAGTCCCATCATAAAAGTCTCCTGAACTATCTGAAGTGGATTCATTTTCTGCCCAAAACTAAAATGATCCATCCTACCTTCTCACAAACTAACTTCTCCCAAGTGTGACACATCCTCTAATGGCCATGTTTTAGCCTAATTATTCTAGCCACCCTTTCCCTCCACCCCCAAAAAGAACCAGTTTCTTTCTCTTGGAAACATGAGTTCAGAACTGAACTAGAAGGAATGGTCTCTTTTACAGAAGGAACCACATTTTTTCTACCACTGGCCCAAGAAACAGAAAACCAATCTGCGGAGAGACCAAAACAAAGCAAAGGGGGGAAAAAAAGGCAGAGATGGGCAAGAGAGAGCCTTGCTCATCCAAGTGCCCGTGGATTCCTGGAGAAACACTTGTAGCCTTGTAATCCACACTATTTTGCTTGAGCCAGTGTGTTGGTTACCATTACTAGCAACTGAATCCTGAACACAACATCATAAGGTTGACTTCAACTACTTCTAATTATCACCAAAACAAGATGAAATACTCCCTGAAATAGTAAAAGAACCAAAGGCTTACGGGAAAGGGACATCAGAAGCTGAAATGGACTTTACTGGACCAAAGGTGAAAAGTAAACCATAAAATGACTAGGACTATACACGCAACAGGAGTCCAGGCAGGCACCGCTTAAGGTGCACTGCCAGCACTCTCTAACCAGCAAAACAAAAGTTCAGGAGATTTCAGAACTGAATCCATGAAGATTTCATGGTAGGCTCATTCACCTGCATCCTGACCTATATTTGGACAGTGTAAATTGTGTTTTGCTCCTCCATAAATATGACATATTTTTGGCCAATGATCATAAGCCCTTATGAAGAGGTCGATTTGAAGCCTGTTACTCGGCATGGCTCTGTGATACACAGAGCTGAGCATTTGCCAAATATGTGCATGGTGGTGAGAGGGAGGTTCGACTTAAAAATAAAAACACTATCAACTCATTTCCCTTTTAAAGCTCACCTTACTCATTCAATGCTAACAACCTACCAAGTGCTGGACACTGGCTAGGCCTTAAGGGTCCCATACAGACAAGTCAATAGGCTATTACTGCCTTCCAAGATCCATCATGAGGGAATGACTGAGCCTCTAAGACCTCCAGGATCATGCTTTGGCCACCTCTGCAAGCTGATCTTCCACCATTTCCCCCAACCCACCCCTTAGGCTCCACACGTCCTCCACCTGAGGACTTACAGATTCACCATCCCTTCCTTCTGGAACACTCATGCCTACTTAATTGTTGGTCATGCTGAGAGCCCAATTAAAATGCTATTTCCTTAGGGAAGCCTCCTCTGACCTCCCAGTCTAGATCGTGTCCCTGTGTTTTCCTTCATAGCACTCAGTACAATTTTATATATAAAGACTCAAGCACATTAATAATTTCTGCATCTTCCTTCTGGCATGAGAGCTACATAAGGGCAGGTTCCTTCCTAGCCCCTCAGCCCAGCTCCATTCTGTGTTGAATAAATGAATCTGAGTCCTGAAGATACAGAGGGAAAATCCTTGATATGGATTTAGGGGAGCAATTCTGCCTCCTTAGGGGAGCCTTCAGAGCATTACAAGTCCCTGGAATTCTTTTTTATTTATTTTTTCAAAATGAATTTTATTTCTTTAGAGATGGGGTCTTACCGTGTTGCCCAGACTGGTCTCAAACTCCTAGGCTCAAGCAATCCTCCCATCTCAGCCGTCAGAGGTGCTGGGATTACAGGCATGAGCCACCATGCCCAGCACCTGGTGTACTTTAACTTCTTCAGCCTCCACTAACTATATCACTTCCTTGGCATAGATCTTAAATTACCTTTGTCTTTATTTTATTCACTTTTACTCTCTGTCTCCCTCCTATCTTTCATTTATTTCACAACCATGTTTTAGCATCCCTACTGTTTCCCACATAACATGCCAGAGACTTATATGATGTAAATAAAATTAACTATCTTTGCCCAAATTAGATCCTAGGCATCTCAAGGGCCAGAAATGAGGCTTATACTCTTTTCTTCCTTGACAGCACCCAGCAGATAACGGTGTGTTATAAATATAAGTGATTTTCTAACTCATCATAAAGTAATGAAGAAGGATTTATGACTATGGTGGAACTCTGCTGCTGGATAATGAACTGCCATGGGAATTAAAGGTGCTGGGAAGATATCTCTAACCTTGAGGTTACAGATATATCCATGCCTCAGTGCCACTTTCAGAGTGGAAATGTGAGAGAAAACAGGACACATGACAGAGTCAGTATATCATGGTAAGCTGCAGTGACAAAGAAAACCAAGGGTTTTTAAATTTAGAGAAAAATAGTTACCTTTAATGTCTCCCTAAAAAGCATACTTTGAGGATAAAAATCAACTGAACAAAGTGTATATAAAAATATAGCAGGGAAAGACATATCTAATT